GGGTGCGAGAGGTCCTGGTTCAAATCCCGGCCGAGCCCTTCGCAATTTTATTTTATAGCTCCCTAGATTAATGTCAAAGACATACTAGGAATTGAATATTCTCCGCGCTTCCTTATACAGGGAAGTTTATTGTAGAATCATACCCCTAGACCACCGAGCCGCGTTAAACAAGCGACTTTCATTTTAATCACATTGAGTGTTTTTGCGAGACGGAAAATGTGAACGCGCTTTTGAATTAATATAATAAACTCATGTGAGCATAGAGCAAAACTAATCGCTCGGAAAAGAAAGATTTTCCATATTGAATTATGGGCTCGACCGGGATTTGAACCCGGGACCTCTCACACCCGAAGCGAGAATCATACCACTAGACCATCGAGCCAGCAAGAAAAGACTTTATTTTCTGATTTTACGTTTTCCAGTAATTTCTCAACCAAAAGCTTAGTTACTTATATCAGTTCGCTTATTTCTTAACATTCAACACTTACTTACTTTCTTTAGGTTATGCCAATTTTGTTCTTTCCGAAAAATCTGAAGTCGCTGTCATCGGCCGGGATTCCAACACGGGAACTCTCACACCCTAAGCGAGAATCATACCCCTAGACCACCAAAACACGTAATCCTCTGCTTAACGTTTACTCAGAACGCTTGTGTTTTCGTTTAATCAAAAGCTTACGTACTAACGTTTTGCATTTTTTATCTTACTTCGTTAAAAATCCGACAATATGTCAGATTGAGTTATCATGAAATTAAAGTAACACAAAATGCGACGGATTGTAGATTTAGTTAGTCGAATCATTCCACTTAAACAAAACATTCGTAACTTTAAGCTTTCATTACACTTTCCCCCTGTTTTATCTCTGATGCAACTTTACGATTCTTCCCTGCAAGTGGAGGTAAGGTTTCTAAAACTATAGAACAATAAACTTCCCTGTATAAGGAAGCGCGGAGAATATTCAATTCCTAATTGTTGTCTTTGACATTAATCTAGTGGGAGCTATAAAAATAAAATTGCGAAGGGCTCGGCCGGGATTTGAACCCGGGACCTCTCGCACCCAAAGCGAGAATCATACCCCTAGACCACCGAGCCGCGTTAGACAAGCGAATCTCCTTTTAATCACTTTGAGTGTTTTTGCGAGACGGAAATAGTTAACGCGCTTTTGAATTAATATAATAGAATCATGTGAGCATAGAGCAAAACTAATCGCTCGGAAAAGAAAAATTTTCCATATTCAATTATGGGCTCGACCGGGATTTGAACCCGGGACCTCTCACACCCGAAGCGAGAATCATACCACTAGACCATCGAGCCAGCAAGAAAAGACTTTATTTTCTGTTCACACGTTTTCCAGTAATTTCTCAACCAAAAGCTTAGTTACTTATATCAGTTCGCTTATTTCTTAACATTCAACACTTTCTTATCTTCTTCCCGTTATGCCAATTTTGATCGTTTCGAGAAATCTGAAGTCGCTGTCCTCGGCCGGGATTCCAACACGGGAACTCTCACACCCTAAACGAGAATCATACCCCTAGACCACCAAAACACGTAATCCTCTGCTTAACGTTTACTCAGAACGCTTGTGACTTCGTTTAATCAAAAGCTTACATACTAAAGTTTTGCAGTCTTTATCTGACTTCGTTGAAAATCCGACAATATGTCAGATTGAGTTATCATGAATTTAAAGTAACACAAAATGCGACGGATTGTAGATTTAGTTAGTCGAATCATTCCACTTAAACAAAATATCCGCAACTTTAAACTTTCATTGCACATTCCCCCTGTTTTATCTCTGATGCAACTTTACGATTCTTCCCTGCAAGTGGAGGTAAGGTTTCTAAAACTATAGAACAATAAACTTCCCTGTATAAGGAAGCGCGGAGAATATTCAATTCCTAATTGTTGTAATGACATTAATCTAGTGGGAGCTATAAAAATAAAATTGCGAAGGGCTCGGCCGGGATTTGAACCCGGGACCTCTCGCACCCAAAGCGAGAATCATACCCCTAGACCACCGAGCCGCGTTAGACAAGCGAATCTCCTTTTAATCACTTTGAGTGTTTTTGCGAGACGGAAAAACTTAACGCGCTTTTGAATTAATATAATAGAATCATGTGAGCATAGAGCAAAACTAATCGCTCGGAAAAGAAAGATTTTCCATATTCAAATATGGGCTCGACCGGGATTTGAA